TGCATGTTATTATGTATATGATATCCTCAACGTCTAACAGTAGCCAGCTAGGCCTACTTTTGGACTCTGTGACCCTGTCTAAGCAGAATTGCCAATAGGAACTATGTAAGGCAATATGTAAGGTAAGATGCTGCCGTTACCTTCTACAGAATGGCCACAATGCTCTCACTGCTAGGCAGGGAAGAGGAGGAACACGTGATTGCCCATGTCTAGCCACTATGGGCTTTCCGCCATCAGTTCCTTGCTTCTCTGCAGGATCACTGCTATTTACTCTTTCCTCCTGAGTAAAAAGAAGCTCTGCGTTCCTCTCTTCCTAACTTCTCCTTCAGTATTCAGGTATCTGCTCTGATATTTTCATTAACTATTGTGGGACATGCTGCAGAAGACACTATCACTAGAGAAGATACCTTCTCCTGAGCCAAGTACCACTGTACTGGGGTCCATCCTCTTTCTAATGACTGACAATCTTTCTTACTTCTGACTGCACGGGTTATTTACACCACCTCAGGCGTTTTCCTTGTTAAGGAGTGAGATTTAATTGCAGTAAGTCCCCAGCTCCTAAAATGATACAACCCAGTCTGTTTCTTTTATGATTTTGAGCTTTCTATTGTCTCCAAGCCTAAGCAGCAGTCTTGCTCCAGAAATACATTTCTAGACACTACATTTTCCCTAAGACAACTGCACTTTCTGTCTCTTTCTCAGCTGACTACATGCTTTTACTGTCTCTTTTAACAGCATTTCTGGGACCTCCCACCATTTCCAGACTAAGTGCCTTGTACCCTAGGAAGAGAGTCTTTACTCAAGCAGATTGTGTTACCAAGTGGTTATAAAATAGTCAGGCTGTAGAAGCTATTTAAACACAAGAAAAATCTATAGCTGCAGCAGGGCACATAATACAGTGGTGATACATGAGAATGAAACCTTCAGGGATAAAAAGCAAGAGTACAACAGTCAAATGTACTGTGGCACCCACCTATTTTAGAATATTTTTTCTTATCAGACATTAATTTGAAACACTTTCAACTCTTTTAGCAGTCTAATTCTTCTACACCTCATTGCAAATCTCTCAAACACCAGTAGACACATTCAACAATGCCACATCTAATTTAGATATTTAACAAAATAATAATGCACTAGGCATAATTAGAATATGATTAAATTAATTTCTGTAATGCTGACTATACTGGATTACTGCAAAAATAATTCACACCTTTATGCTGTAGACCCAATATAACCTGTAAGCCAGCTCACAGTATAAAAGGTACATAGCACACAATCCATTGAACAAGGACCAAAATTTGCAAAATCTTAAGTGACAGCATGCCTGACGACTTTAACAGTAGCAATTTGCAATGTTTAATAGTAGATTAAGTAATTACATAGTGTTATACTTGCACTGATTTTTATCATTAAATTCATGGCTCTTCCTTTGTCCACCTAACCAGTCATTTAATCCTAGAAGGCAATCAGCTTAATTTGCCCTTCTGACTCTTTGCTGATTGTTCTTCATCATCTTGCTCTTTGTATATGGGAGACGGATTCCAAAAGTACACGCAACACATGCTCCATGATTGTTTTGGAGACTGAGATAAGTTTGATCAACCAATAGTTCCCTGAGTCCTTCACCCTTTTTAAAAATGGGCACAACAGCCTCGGTCCCGTTGTTGGAGACCTCCTTGATCATGATGCTTTTTTATAGCTGATAATGGTATTACATTGGAGAGCATTTGTGCGTAAGTCCTGTGCAGTCCCACGGTTATGAGGTGACTTCAGAGCACTGCACTCTAATTAGTCTTTTTAACCCATTGCTCTCCCACTGTTGGTAGCTCCTCTCCTTCAGAAAGGATGCTAATACAGAAAATGGAAGCAGGCTTTGCCTGTGAAGGCTGAAGCAAGAAAATGCATTGAGAATTTCTGCCCTTTCCATATACAGCAGTGGGATGCCATCCTCATACTCAACATGAAGGGAGTGCAGGGATTTCTGTAGAGATGATGCTATTTATTCTAGCACCATGAATAAACCACCTCAATGAAGCACTGATGTAAGCACTGCTGAAACAGCTTACTTTCATTTTTATTTTGTTGAAATAGAATTCTTCAAAGAGAACTAGGCAGTCATTCCTCACCCTTTCATCAACCCAAAGCAATGGCCAAAGTTTAATCTCAAACGTGAACAACCAGCTGCACAACCCTGTGTGATCAAACCTTACATTCCACAGAAAATGTAACCTGACACATTCCGAGAACACATTTACCTGGACTTTTATTTTTTGACTCACATGACAGGAAGGGACATGTTGCTTTACAACAGGCTGATGCCTTTTCAGTTCCAGCCATGACAAAGAGATGTAACATTTCCAAAGCAGTAGGGAACATCACTGGTTGTAAGAGAGGAATGTCATACCACTTTTTTAGTGAGCCAAGTTTACAAAATCCTTTTGAGACATGAATCTGAATAACCCTCAAGGAGAGTTTGGGGTGCTAATGGAGGGGATGAGTTGCTAAATTCACGTCTTATTCTGAGACTAACATTGGGCAACTCAAAAGACAGGAAGTGCTAGATTTAGTACCTAACACAGGATGAAGGAATCCCCTGTACCTAATTTAAGTAGGTTTCTTTTTATTTCCACAGCCTTTACAAACACAGCAACTGAGTCAGGATTCTACAAATACATTATTTCTTTCTACCTTATCCTGTTTTGTTTTACAGGTGATTTCAGGTAATTTCCAATCACCCAGGTGGTCTGATCCCTCAGGGGGATGACCCTTAAGACTGGTATACTCTGACACCCAGCCAGCACATCAGTCCTTTAACACACTGGAGTCAGCACAACAGTAGGTACCTCCACTTAACCATATGGACTGTTTTGTCAACTGCCAGGACACACACATCAGTGGGAAAAAAGGTATCTTCCAGAGACTGCCACTAACCAGCAAAGCTCCATGATGTGCAACAGAGCAACCTCATGAAGTTTAACAAGGCCAAATGCAAGGTTCTGCACCATGGTTGGGGAAATCCCAGGCACAAATACAGGCTGGGTAATGAATGGCTTGAGACCAGCTCTGAAGAGAAGGACTTGGGAGTGGTGGTGAATGAGAAGCTGAACATGAGCTGGCAATGTGCGCTTGCAGCCCAGAAGGCCAACCGTATCCTGGGCTGCATCAAGAGAAGCGTGGCCAGCAGGTCCAGGGAGGGGATTCTGCCTCTCTGCTCCGCTCTTGTAAGGCCCCACCTGGAATACTGCGTCCAGTTCTGGAGTCCCCATCACAAGAGAGACATGGAGCAGCTATAACAAGTCCAGAGGAGGCCACCAGGATGATCCGAGGGCTGGAGCACCTCTCCTATGAGGACAGGCTGAAAGAGTTGGGGCTGTTCAGCCTGGAAAAAGAGAAGGCACCGAGGAGATGTTATAGGGGCCTTCCAGTACCTGAAGGGGGCCTACAAGAAAGCTGGGGAAGGACTGTTCATAAGGGCAATTAATGACAAAACAAGGGGAAATGGCTTTAAGCTGGAAGACGGTAGGTTTAGATTAGATATTAGGAAGAAGTGCTTTCCTGTGAGGGTGGTCAGACATGGGAATAGGCTGCCCAAGGAAGTTGTGGATGCCCCCTCCCTGGAAGTGTTTAAGGCCAGGCTGGATGAGGCTTTGAGCAAACTGGGCTAGTGGAAGGGGGGCCCGCTGATGGCAAAATCTAGTGGAAGGTGTCCCTGCTGATGGCAGGGGGGTTGGAACTAGATGATCTTTAAGGTCCCTTCCAGCCCAAACCATTCTATGATTCTCTGTTCTCTTCAAGCTTTAAAATTAGTCAAAGTTATAGATAAAGAACAGCCAGAATTACACAGAGAAGCTGTAAAAGATACTTCCCATCACCTCTGCACTCCTTTGATAACCCTTACAATTTTTCTTGCAAATTTGAGCAGCCAAAAGTATGGTGATCTCATGATACATGTGGAATTGTTACTTGTTTTGGGCAGTATTTGGAGTCTACACTGCATGTAGATGTTTGAAGCTGATTTGTTCCAGAGTGTATGACCAAAAATTGTTTCATAATGTGATGACATAAAAAATGTTTATAGAACAACAAAATGTTTATAGAACAACAAAACCACACTACTGTTTCAGCCTTACACCAAATGCAATGAACCCATCTTTCAAGTTTTCTCATCAAAAATGCATATGTTTGTATTAGTTACTCTGTAGCTGAAGCACAAGAAATACAGCAAAAGTCTTGTTCAGGAGAGTCTTCTGACTCAAACAGCAAAATTTAAGATAATCCCATTAATGAGTTCCCAAATTCTGCCCAAACCTTATTATTTTAAACTTAAATATCAATTCATAAAAATAACGTCTGCTTCAATTAAAAATTCCCCACAACTCAAAGATTTTATTCCAGTAATCTTTATCTCCTTAGGAAAAGAATGCTAATTTTTCTAAGATAGAGCCTCCACAATTAGAGCAAGAAAGTTGATTATAAAAAAAGGGTGGATTTTTTTTTTTTTTTTTTTTTTTTTCCCAAGTTCCTTCATTTGTAGTGCAGCTAGAAATCTTTGCTTTCCAAAATAGGTGTCTGAGGCAAAACAGTGAACAGAGCTTGCCAAAGTGAGAAGAAAACTAATTTTTACAAACTTTATAGGAAAAGCACTCCGACTGCAAAGGAATGCAATTTTTATATTAATCTGGTTTAAGCTAATGTTAATAACTTAATACTCCAGACTCTTACTTTATTTTTGCATGAAAAGTAATTGTTTATTAAGCAAAATATCAGTTTTGGTCTCTGGAACAGAAATTACATTCCCACTTTTTTTTTTTTTTTCAAGTAATTTCTTCATTCTGGTTTACACTTCTATTCATGAAAGTGTAACGTAACTAGTTATATTACCTACAGCTGTCCAACTGGTTGTTCATTGACAGCACAAAGTAATACAACACGAATATCTAAGCTGCACATACTAATTTTTGCTCTGACTGAAGTGAATAAAAATACTCAAGTTATGCACATTTTAAAACACTTTGCCATACACAGATGTATAAAATAGAGCATCAGAAGTCCCAGTATCATTCTTAGAATCCAGTATTTTTGGTAATGAATTTTACTATTACTCTGAGTGGAATTTTATGCAGACAAAACCCTTGAGTATTTTACAGCAAAGCACTTTTCATATACGTTAACACACAGAGACTCTGATTAAAAAGAGTCTGCAAATGAATCCAAGTTTCCTCGAGTTGTGTTGACAGCCTGGATACTTCTTCCAATAGATTTGGTTCTGATGAGAGAATCTTAAGATGTAACTGAAAATTAAAACAAGCAGTTAGTGAAACAAATACAAATAATAAAAAAAAGACAATATCAGATTCCTCATGCAATTACAATACTTTGCTTGCAGGAATGTCCCAAGTAAGGGAAGGACTCTTTTTCTTCAAATAATTCCCTCCATTTAATGCTGCCTCCCTTTTGCTCATCTTTTACAAGCCTTTTTATTCCCATATATGTATTAGATGGGATAAGGCAGCAAAATGTCTTAAATAAGTTATTGCTTTACTAGATCTTCTTCTGCCACTGCTGCTAAGTCTATTCTAATCACACACTTCTCTACAGGGCAACTTTCTCCTTTTTCCAACTTGCATCACAAGTTCCCCTTTAGGCTAAAAAGATGCTCTAAGGTCAATCAGGATTATTGTTTTAATTATCCACGTTGCATAAAGCAAGAACAATGATGCCAGCACACTCTATACTGGTAAATGGAGATGATGTCTCTCTATGTAATTAACAGTAACCTTGGTAAAGCATAAATAAAAGAGGTTTTCTCAATCTTGTGGAGAGCTTATACATTATTACCACTTAATGGATGGAATAGTTATTTTCCTGGCTACAACTTAAATCCAGGAGTTTTGCTAAACTCTGAGCCATTTTACTTGGAACCTACAACAAAAGACATTAGCGTTCATGTGTCACAGAGTGAGTTTTTATTATTCCACTGTAGTTCAGATCTGGAGTACATTTCTGAGGCAAATTACTTAGCTGCTACTAATTTACCCTGCAAGAGCTAAATTAATTTTGTATGAAATGAAAGAGAAAGATGAATTCTAATATCTAATATTGCAGCTATTAATCATATCCAGTCCATGGTACCAGATTAATAATAAATAGACATGCTAAAAAGCCATTGGTGAATGAAGTGTCCTGGTTTTTGCTAGGATAGCATTAATTTTCTTCTTAGTAGCTAGAAAGCACTGTGTTTTGGTTTCAGTGGGGACTGTTATGAGAAGAACGTTGATAACATACAAGGAGCAGAGAACTAGAGGGGTGGTCGGGAAGAGAAGTGTAGTAGTTAGCAAAACCCAGAACTGACAGCTGGATATGCCAATAAGATATTCCATATCCTCTCATGTCATGTTCAGTATATTAACTGGGGCTGACCAGAAAGAGGGGGGGATTCTCCTGGGGATCGCTCGGGTTCGCTTTTCCGGGATTGCTGTTTTTGGGTTCCTTTTTGCTCCTCCAGGATCATTATCAGTGGGTGGTGAGCAATGGCTAGGGATAAAGCGGGGGGTGGGGTGCTGCTGCAAGTGGCTGTGTCTTGTTCGGCTTCTGGCTAAGTTAAACTATCACAAATAGCAAGACCTCAACCTTAAGTGTTTCACTCTATGGATCTGCTCCTATTTGTCTGCACTACTTGTTCTTGTGGAAGCTGCCCCACATATTCTATCTAACCCCAACAAAAGGAAAAGAACAAGTCATATTTGTCCAGCATTACACTCTATCTTTAAAAAAATTCCCTGCAGTATTGCTATTAAGAAATATTCAGTTAAACAGACAGTATTACATGTGTCTGAATACTTGTAACAACTTTTTCCTAGTAAACTGTAATTGTTTTCCCACAGTTTCATAAATCAGTGTACCACGACAAGGTAAGCATTTGTACATCAGAAGGATTTCAATCTTCTGCAGAATGACTTTCACTCTAAGAGTAACTGCTACTGTATTTATCACAATAACTTTCTAACTCCCATAAACCTTGGAATAATTTTATTATCTCTGTGATGCTTAACAGGTAATAGAAGAAAAGCAGCCCACTGGCATGGAAAGTTAAAGTCAGGCTTGCAATGTCTAATGATGAGTCCAACAAAATGCCTGTTTTACTTCCCCGAACACTGGGCACTGAATTATTTTCTTACTTAAGGCATGGCATATCTTAGCTTAGCAATTACAACCATAAAGAAGTTCGGTACGTTACAAAAAATAAAATCAATTCTAAGTAAAGAATACTAGAATAAAACCTGTCTGGCATTGTCTTTTTGCAAGTTTTTCTTGACTGTGACTAGATGAGATGTCAAATTATCCAATATTTTCAGTTAGTAATTTTAAAACCATCCCCAACAAAAATCACTTAAGATAATTCTTTTGAAGAGACAATTGACATCCTTTTAATGGAAAACCGTAATTTTAAACAGGACTAACATAACATTTTATAAGAAAATTGTTACCTTTAAAAATAGTGCAAGGTATGCCTGAGCAAGTTCGAAGTTGTACTTCTTGTTCAGCATCATCCCAATCATTCTCAAAAAGCTTAGCATCACCTCCATTGAGCCACCACCTTCAGGGGCCAAACCCCTTAGTTCTATCTCAATATTAGATGGGCCCAAGCTTTTCAGTAAATTAAGTGGAGCTGTATCTGTGTTAAAGCATTGAGGGATACATTATCAGTAATAACTGCAGAACAGAATCTTACAAATCCTTCACGTGAACAGGCTTATTCCAAAATTCTTAAGCAGTGACTATATGTTGCAAGTTTCTACTGTTTCCTTACTTCTTTGTTTTTCATAAAATACCATCCCACCTTTATTTTACTATCCCATCACATAATATAGATAAGTACAATTCTAATAAGACAGTTGCATTTTATTTGTAAGTTCACTTTAAAACATACAAGTAACATCTTTCTATTTGTATCATTTTTTTGCAAACACAGCTGTTGGTAAAAATATTTTTAAAAACATCTTCTAATAAATATTTCTTTTTCTAAGAAGCTGCTAAGAAGAGCCAACTCTTATACTCTTATATTTTGACAACTAACAGTTGGCATTGGCTAATACTCCTTAGGTGGTATAAATCTGTTCCTATCTGTATTGGATTCCTATGAAAATCATTAGCTAGTTTTAAATGTGAAGTAGCCCTTGAAAACAGAACTTGCTAGGCAAATTCTGTTTTTCATGTTTCAGTGAATCACCAGACTATTCCTTACCATATCATTTCCTTCCCTTCTTATCCTACAAATAATATATAGCACCTTTTCCGGGTGAGATAATCACAATCTCCAAGAAAGTCTAACAATCTTAGGAACATGACCTTCTTTCTCTATATGGATTTTGGCCAGAACTGGGCCCCATGCTGCAGGCAAGCTGGATTACCAATAGATTTTTGATCTATGCATTTTTTTCCCCTCACACATGTTACAATTCTGGCCTTAGAAACCAAACGCGTATCAAAATATTACCATCTACATTTTTAATTAAATACCTTGTTAACTTACATTCATTAGTGCTCAAGGCTTCTTCAAGATGAATGTAGAAATCAGACTTCTGTGCCAGTATTCCAAGATTTACTACCTTTGACTAGACCATGAAAGTATAAGAGGGGGTACATGAATATGCAAATGTATTTTTATATCTCTATTAGATTCTTTTCCTACTGACCAAATAAAAAGACTTTAAGAAAGAAACCATTAATGTAAATGCATTAAAACTGGTACTTTAAAGTATTTAGCAAGATTTCACTCAGCACTAAAAAGCATTTAAGATTTTCTTTTAAAGTACACTAGATAGATAAACATTATTATATTGATTCTTATTTTTACCTGTGTATCATTTTCTTCTTCTGGAGCAATGTATCGGGGTATGAGACCAGGAACTGTTGGGATGAAGAAAGGGGCTGACTTGGGAACTTTTGGTGGCTCTCTTGGTTTATTTTTTTTCTGTTAATTAGATATCTGAATTAAAATCATCATCATAGTAAGAACATGTTGGAATTTTCTTTGTCAATAATTTTATATTTAAAATACTATGAAAACTGTAAGGACTAACTGTAAAGTAAATATATAGGTAAATTTTTTTACCACTAAATACGAAGCTACTGTTTAGAAGAAAAACAGCCCCTTTCCCAAATCCCAGAAATTGTGAGAAGTGCCATATAGTCTTCTACTGCAAAATCTGAAAAATACCTAAAAAGCAGGATCAAATGGTGTGATTAGGTAAATGCAGCTCATAGAACAAGGGCAGATATATCTGGCTGTATACTACTATTTTTTGCACATTTTTGCACTCTTTTTCTGGTTATGGGAATGCCAGACAGTGATTTAGAGGCATAATGTAGAATAGCTCAACAGGCACTTATTAGCTGCATTAACATGGAAATATCTGCCTTCAGACAGCTACTTTGCATGTTGCAGAAACAGTAACAGCAAAAGTTATGAAACAGTTCCTCCTTTTCAAGATTACTTGAACATCCAAGAGAATGGTTAAGACAACTGTCTGTTTTCCATTACAGGAGAAATAGCCCTTATTTTACCTCCTTAAAAAATGCAATCCAAATGCTACAGTAGGTAAGCAATGATGTGCCCAATATCATTACCTTGATAACATCAAGACTGAGGAGATTTTTCCACCTTGATTCTGGTAATGCGGAAAGGGTCACAAGCTGCTCTCCCAGTTGCTCAGGTGAGACATATTCTATCATTTCATCACATGTTTCTTCATCTCCTGCCATATCTACATCTTCCAACAATAGATAGCTTTCATGAACATAAACACTTCACATTTATTTTTTTAAAAGTCAAAACCAAGATGATTAGTGTTAGGTTTATGGTTGGACTTGAAGACCTTAAGAGTCTTTTCCAACAGAAATGATTCTATGGTTTCTTTCGCAACTTTTAAAAAACACATGCATAACAGCTACATATATGGGTGCTAGCATAACATATAGTTGAAAAGCAACAGAAATAATCTCTATTAACCCTATGAAATAATTTAAATTACAAACAGCTATAGTTTTAAAAAAATGGAGAACTGGATAAACAAGATTCTAAAGACTAACAAGACTTAACCACTTTGGCTGAAATTATATAAAGGCAATTTATAGAAGTCCTAAAGGAAGAATAATGGATTACTTTCAAAATTCTGTTAACTCTTTTAAAATATAGACACAGCAATTTTAGTTTTGAGTTACAAATCTGTAAAATCTTTGCATTTAAATATGCACAATATTCACAACCTGTTCATAGGTATGACTGAAGTGGCACATAAAAACGAAGAAAATCTCAAAATTAAAGCACAACACCACACAACAAAAGATAAGCAGCCTGTCACTAGGTTTTCTCTAGACTTCCTATGTGGTCTTGACCAAACACCTCTATTTTCCCTTTCTTTTTGCAAAATATTACATGGCCAAAACCATGAATGGGACAGAAAAGGTTAAAACAACAAAGAAATGTAAACTATTAAAAGTTCTGAGCACCTGAACAGGAACTTTACATTTGCTAAAGACAGGAAGTGAATTAAAGTGTTCAGACAGAATCAGTTTATAGGGTTAAAACATTCAGAGTTTTGGGGTGAAATCCTGTCTCCCTAATTTAAGTATCTAAAATAAGTATGGGCTTAACAAAGCAGTAACCATCAAGGCCCTTCCAATCTATATCATTCTATGATTCGATGAAGTAGTTCCTCACTCTTTCACGAGTTTGATAGCAAGGTGTGTTTTTCCTCCAGATGGAGATCTAAATGTAGACACTGCTAAAATTGGGCAGACAAGATCTCCATCTAGAGGCCTTGAGAAACACAACCATTTTTATTAAATGTGTAAAAAAATGCAATTTATGCCTTTCTTTTCACTGGGAATCTAACACAGGTACATGGCAGGTCAGCTGAACCCAATTCTCTTGCCAGCAAGACAATATAAAACACTGAAACTACCATGGCATACAGGCAGACAAAAGAGTTGCTGGGAAGTGGAACAAAGAACAATTCCCTTCCCACTACCAAACAGCAAAGTTAATTTCAAACTGGCCTCACAGATGTCAAAATGGGAGGTATTTACAGAAATCTGGGATTAGAGAAAGCCAACAAATAACATAAATGTTTTTATTACCTAGAAAATCTCCTTGAAGATGTGGAGAATCACACACAGTGTAATTACATCCCAACATAATTCTTTATGATTGATCATAGAAACATGACTAGATTTTTAGTAAATAATTGAGTAAGTACATCAAAAATAGTAGAAGCAATAGGAAAAGTGCGGAGAAAGAACATTAAGACACAGTGAGTTTTCACTGAGGAAGTAAATAACCTTCTCTTTGAAATATAGTACCAAAGTGAATAAAAAATCTTTCATCTGAAGATTACCTTGCACAGGGCAGGTGCTAAGCCGTGTCACCACAGAAGGTTCATAATCTGATGGAAGGGGCCGTAAAGAGACAAGTGAATAGAGAGAACGGTTTGACCTGAAAAACAAGATAGGCATTTAAAAAAAATTTTCAGGTGAATGGGAACAAGTATTTTAGACATCACTTTTAGTGCACTCTAACAATAGTGCACTATGGCAATTCACTAGGTTCTATTCAAGATTAGTTTTCCTCATCTACCACATCAACAAGAAATGAAATGTAGCGATATACCTCATCTGGAAGTCTGAAACGTAAGAGTTATACTGAACTACTATTGCCAAGAATGTTTAATATATATGGCATTATGAAGTATGATTATTTCAATCACTGCCAGATACCATATTTACTTGCAATTGCAAAACTGTCTATCTAAAAACCTTGCTTTGTACTTAGTATGTACAATACATCATGCAAATATAAATGAATCATCCTGCTTTCACAGAATTTCAAAGTAGTACTCAGCAGATTTTCTTCAGGTTTGGAACATGCACACAAGTCATTCTGGCAAATTATTTTTTCTGTCAATATAAACCAGCGCTAGGAAAAACTTCTGTCATTATTCACAATGAACACTTTTACTTAAGCATAGAAAGGTCTAACAATTGAACACCCCTCAGGCAAAACTACAGGCAACAAATGTAACCTGAAAGATGTACATATCTAACAAAAGGGGAAAAAACAAAAACAAAAGCAAACAAGTGTGTCACTTCAGTACTGGACCTAACCAGTTATTTTTAAAGCTGTATCAGGTGTCACTTTTAAAGCATACAGGTGTCACTGTATGGGATAATTTTATTAAATACAGTTTACATGCAAACACTCAATTTTCCACAACATATTTTTTGGAAAAGAAACAAGTCCCAGGCCTAATACTCCCTTGGCTACCTAGATTGTCAAGATGTACACATTTGGCTTTCTCTCTGTCCTAGTGAAGTTGAATTAACCTGTGCAAAGTGGGGCAGCAGTGGGGACTAAGAGTATGGCCACAGACAAGCATGGGCAGAACAAGCTACTCTGATGATTGAGGGAATTTTCTTTCCCTCGTGAGAAATGCATCCTCAAATTCATTTTAGGCAGGAAAAGGGGTTCAGCTTGTGTCTCTCATCTCTTAAGTCCCTCAACTTTGAATCCCATTTCAAGTCCAAACACTTGTTTATGCTGTTTATTAGCTTTAAAGCTGTATCAGGAAAAAAATGAACTAAAACATTTTACATCTGTGCTGATCTACCATTAATAAACAGAAATAATCACAACTCCAAAATTCTACTTGGAAGTCTCAGACCTAACGCTGTATACCAAGACAAGAAGAAAAGCGCTTCAGAAAGTAACACTATATAAGCACTGACACGTCAAAAGGTGTAAAAAAAAAAATACATAAATAAATAGTGGAGTCAAAGAAAAACTTCAGGAATGGCGTAATGGGAATTATTTGGAATAAGAAAGAAACACTTAGAAAAAAAGATATAATTATCACAATAAATAACTTAACTGCAAGAGATTTCAAGATTTACAAATCACAACAATACAGAATACCTGCCTTAATTAGAAACAGAGAAGATAAAACCCTGGAGATGGACACTTTGCAGAACAATCTTCTATTTGCAGTAAAGGTGATTAAAAAGAATTCCCCCCCATCTGAAATTTTGTGTAGAAATAGATATATTACATACTCACCATAAATAAATTCCAAGATCATCCACATGTGCTGAAGCTAGAAAATCTCCCGTAGGAGACATAGTAAGGCTGACAGCTGCAGAGTCCACCAAAAAACAATCTATGAGGCTAAGGAGAGAAAACAACAGAGAAATTCTCAGCAAGATGCACTTGTTTATCTATGCATATCTGAATTACAGCAAAAATACAACTGAATGCAAGCAGGACACCTGGAAGTGTGTATACAAACTAGCGTATTAGAAGCATTCAAATATGACATATAAACTTAGCAAATGAATGGCACTGTGCAAACAAACCACACACCTCTATAAATTCTCTAAAATCAGCTAAAGCTGGTACATTTATGCTACCTCCTTAGACATTCACATTGTGTGGAAAATATGATGAACCATGTGTCCACATTCAACTCCTTATGCCTAACACTATCCTTTTTAGTGGCCATAAATTTCATACCTCAAATCATACCATGCTGCTCTGACCTCGTCTTTTAATGCTCTGCCATTAATTTTCAACTCCCTCTCTCAATATACTTCATGTACACCTGTTAACACTAGGACCTAACGTTCCTAAAGTAAAGAATGAACTGTACATCGTGAAATTGCTCCTGCTCGCTGCAGAGGGGGTTGGACCAGATGATCTTTAAAGGTCCTTTCCAGCTCAAGCTATTCTATGATTCTAGAAAATTTTATTATCTGCAAAGACCTTGTTTTGACATTGCCATATCTTCAGCCTGATACGCTATTCCTTCATCATTCCTTTCACTATTGCAGAAAACTGAAAAAACACCACATGAAAAGTGTTGGCGCTTTAACAGCCGAAGCTGCAGGCGGCTTCGGCCTTGAGCAATTAAGTCCTGACTTTGAGTGAAAAAATAGAGCAAGAACATATTCATGAAAAAGAATGCAAGAAAGAAGATAAGAAATTTTTTATGTAACTAGTCGGAAGTAAAAAGAATGCCTCATGAACAGGTGGATTCATCCAATCAAGTATCGTAACCAGGCGTGTGAACAGTAGCTTATAGCCAGTGAAGAGTTGTTTACGTGTGTGTGTGTGTGTGTGCGCGTGTGTGTTAGCAGCTTAAGAGTATATAAGTGATCATGTAACCAATAATAAAGGTCTCTAGTAGAATTCACATTGAATCGTGTGTGGAGTCCACGAATATCCCTCTCGGCAGAAAAGACAGTTAAAATACTTAGTAGTCTATGACTACTTTAACAATAAGCCACTTTTGAGTTCTGGACTACTGCTTGTCACTTGTTGAGGTATAAATTCCAATTACTTCAAATTGTAAAAAGCAGTTGAGTTTGACAACTAGTTCATTGAGAGAAACAAAAGAACAAATTGAGAGTTTGAATACTTTGCTCTTGTTTACATACCAAAATCAAAAGCAAAGTGAGAAGTGGTTAACAGCAGCTAGTTGTGCAACCCTCTTCACTAACCATAGAAAAAATATTGATGTAACAAAGCAGTTTAAAACGTGAAATCTTGTGGGCATGTATTTTCTTAGGTACTGAGCACTCCTGTGATGGACTAGATCTTAGGGAGGTTGTTTGTAACTCAAACCATTCTATGATTCTATGAATACTTCAGCGTATCACAAAGCAATCCACCTTAACCAGTCTCTTGCCATTTAGATTACAGCACTGCTTCCAGACAAAGAACAGATTCACACTCATTCACACTACATGAAAACTCCAGGTTTCATCATTAGATCTTCAGGACATCGTTATTCTGCATACCCAGAAAAATGCACATATTCCTAGCATTGCACACAACTAAAATACTGGGTACTGAGCTTTTACACCATGTACAACTTTGAATATCACACAGTACACGTTGGTGACAGGCAATCAAGCCAGAAGGCTTTTTGCCACTTACCAGACAGAAAGAGGATTACAATAAATTTCTGTATATTTTTGAACTGACTCACCATCCAGAGGGAAGGTCCCAAGTCTTAATGGTACAGTCCATTGATGAAGTTATTAGCCAACGACCATCAGGACTGAAAGCCTAAAATGAAATAGTCAATCTAATGGCACAACTGACAAGTCAGTCCCTACAAGAGGTTCTGTTTTACACAGAGGAACTGTTTTACACAGTTCAAGATTAGATTGCTCCCTAAGACCAGGACAAAATAGTCTGGTCGTAAAACAAAACTGACACCACGTTATTGAAAGTAATAAAAGGACAAAAATGGAAGCTATTTCAGAACAGGTTTAAATATATGACAAGGACACAACTGGCTGTTAGTAAAATGGTCCTCTTACATTAATGATGAAAATCACTGAGCATAAAACTGAAGAAATGAAATAAATACTTACTAGCATTTAGAATTAAATCAGAAGCTAAAATTATTTCAACAAATACTGCAAAGCAGACAAGATGTGAAGTAAGGAATTATCAGGGTGTTGCATAATCTTAAATCTGTTTATACCTTTTATTTACCTAGTTCTTTTTTTCTATATATACAGTTAAGACTGTTGCACAGTTTTACTCCTCAACATGGTGTTTATTATCCCTAAAGCTTTAATCTGTTGAGCCCAAAACCAGCTTGTTAAAAAGTTATCGTAAAATCCCAAAGCACTAAAAATACATGGCCATTCAAACACCATACATTTTAACTTGAAAAATAACACGGCCAAAAATGCTGTAGTGCTGAACTACAACTTTATCATTCACAGATTAACATAATACTCACTGACTTAATATATGCAGAGAAATGTGTATATGTCACCTATTACAGAAAATGAGTTAACAATTACCATGTCATTAATCCATCCATGGTGTCCTGAGAATGTCCTGACAATCTTCCTGGTTTCTATATCCAAAACACTAATACTGAAGTCATCAAAGGCAATTCCCAGTATACCACTGACAAGAACAATTAGCATATACGATAGTGAATGCTCAGAGACAAGAAATAAAAACAACATTTAACATCGCTCCAAAAATCTTTTAGCCTGAGAATCTCAGATAAACAGTATTACATTCCTTCAGTCTAATAAGATGTCTTGTATTTATTTTCTTTTGACAATTGTATTTCAAAGCATCAGAAATTTAAACTTGATTAGAATATTTGGTTGCCATCCTAGATTTAGGTACCTACAGCAAAACAATATTAACATAAAAAAGCTTCAGTTTCTTACCTGTCTCTGTGAAGCAGAATTCCACTTGGTGGAGAAGAAAGCTCAGTGGAGAAAACTAGATCTTTAGTTTTGAATTTCCAAAATTTAATTAATCCTTCACTACCAGCTGTGATTATCAGCTGGTTTAACCCATCCACTGCAACCCCCCTAATGGCCCCGTCATGCGCTGCAAATCAAGGGAAAATAAAAGTTGTATTTCAGAATTTAAACATAGCATAGAAATCAGCAGAATGCCAAAAACTATTCTGTATGTCTTTGCCAAACTTTGCCTAAATGAGCAGTAAGCATGACACAAACAATTCCAAAGCCACCTGACAAGACTTCTTGAATATTATAAGTTTCTTCATCAGTTCAGAAACTAAATTGCTTTCAAGTAAGCACCTTTAATACAATACAAAAATTCTAAGTAATTGAAGCTGAACATTAGCTTTTATTTCTGCTTTCAGTTTGGGGTTTGTTTTTTTTTTGAATGTGAGATTTGAGGGACTTCTTGAATCACTTAGGGAATGCCTCCAGGGTGTCTAACCACTCCAGGCAAAATTTACAGCTTCATTCTGGCACAAAATCTGGGAGTATAGCTAGGCTACTTTACACTGCAGTGTGAAGATAAGGCATTCCTCCTCTGTTTTTGGACGAATTTTATTTCTTAAACTGTGCATAGGGCTACTGGCCAGTAACTAAACTTAAATTCATCCCACTATCAAGCAATGATATTATTAGGAGTCCACTTCAGAAAGCCAGTAAGGTTCAAAGGTTCATCAGGACTCTTTTCTTGTTTCTACAACAAAAAATTCAGATCACGAGGGCCCTATTATAAATTGCAGACTTGCAAAACAACAGCAAAAATATATGCGGATACATGAGAAGAAATATGTATGTACGCAACCATTAAAAGGAGAAGTCTGAACACTGTCACATTAAGTCCTAAGTTTGCAGCTGGGTAACTGAAAATAATAGCATATGCAAAGAGCAGGTAGGTCTTGCTTAGGATTTCAATTTCCCATGCATGTAAAGTATTCTTTCATTTTTAAGCAGGGAACACAAAACCGATGGGAAAATTTATCTCAGAGATAGTAGCCTATAACAAGAAGCCAATTATGGAAATGTGATTACCTCAAAAAGAGCTGAGGCCAGAGGATAGCATTTTAGTGTTAACCATTTTGGTAACTGACCATTCTGTGTTAATTAAAAACAAACATATGCTAACATCAGAGCTGTTAAAATTAGCAAGGATCCTGTCCTTCAAAGTAAATTTCAAACTACATCTGATTACAGTGCAAGATCGGACAGCTATGGGTAATCAGAGAAAACTGAAAAGATTCCCAAACTCAACTCAGAAGCTACATTAAATTTCCTAGATGACAGAACACCAGGTTGCTGCTGTTCTGTTAAGAGTCAGTATTTTAGAAGTGTAGCAATTCTTACCTCTTTCTTTGCCATAACACCCTCTGTGAATGCCAGACTGCATGTTATACACATCTACCCGTCCAGTTGACAAACCAATTACTGCAAAGTTCCCACATGAGCTAATGTCAACTGCCTTTCAAAGGGAAAGAAAACCAAAACAAACATCTATGAAAACAATTCTTTAAGTATTTATCTAATTATCAAAGTTGTTAGAAGATACAGAACATATCAAGAATACAAAATACTAATGTTTTTATTGGATTTCTTCAAGGAAAACCGCACAGAACAGATTACACGTCAAAAAAAGCAGAGAGCAGAGCTCTTAAAGAAGCAAACAGTTAAAAAGTAATAAATATGGCATGCTCTGAAAGAAAATGAAATACTGACTGGTGATATCCATCAGAAGTCATATCTATAATATCAACACTGTAACCTAAACGGCTAACCTATATAATCAAGACATCCACAAATTCAATCCCTAAGATAAAGTCCAAGGATGCCAACTGCATCCTTCCTTCAATACCCGTATTGCCAATGGCACCCCAAAATAGGGTAAATTCACAGAGTTTAAATAGTAAGAAACAAAGAAACAATGGTTTACATGTCTTTGGAAAGATACAGTCCAAAGAATCTAGCAGTTACAAGAAAACCAAGTATTTACCACTGAACTGAACTTGTCTACTCACAAGATACAGCAGTATGAACTACATGAAGTAAGCTACAGTAATTACTTGTCTTACAAGCTTATAAGCCTCAGTAACATTTGCATCTCTTTCATTGAGTGTTTGACTTTCATTATGTCCCACTCAAGTTATAAAGCATTTTGGAAGGAATACCCTCCCTGCAATTTGGAAATATATATTGCCAAAAAAAAAAAAAAAAAAATTATCTTCAGCAATCTGCATTCACAGGGCAAGTTTACAGGCATATAGTCAACTGTACATCACTATGACAGATTAAAAGTAAACACCAACCACCTACCTGAATCAGAACTTAATATGCACTTAACCTCTGTTTCAAGAAAAAATGCAGCATTTTTCTTAAGACCATATGCATTAAAAAAAAGCCAGTAGGACACACTAAGCTGTCAGAAAACACCCTGCAAAGCAACTAAAACATGTCTAGAGAGTGCTTTTTCATTCTAAATATTGCTTCTGTACAAATAGAAATCCAAATAGCACATACTGTAATGCTGAAGAGACATTATGCTAAATGAACTTACTGTTGCATATATATCAATAGGTTTGTGTTTGCTAAATTCTTCTGGTCTTAGTTTATGAGCTCCCATGGAAGTTTTCTGATAGTTCCAGGTCGTGCAGGTTATATACCCTTGATGGCAGGCAACAATACCATCCCAGTCGCTCTGATGTGCCACTTCTGCAATGTAATACATACTCCTTTTAAAAACAATCATTCTGAAGTCAAATAAGCTTTTCTGATATCGTAAGGAAGAGTACTTTGAAATACCTTTAGGCAGAACAGTTCACATTCAGTGTTCTTGGTGGACACTCAAAGGGCTACCATTTGGAAAAACCACCTGGCAAACTGTTGTGCATATGCTAGTGTAACTAAAATTGTAACAAAACCACAAGCACTTTTTTAATATGTTATGTTTCATGTCTTTGTATATTTGAGTCTGTCCTTTGAAAAGCATATTTGAACTTAAATTGTTTAAGCTGCTCAATCTGTACATATTTTCAGAGGAGCATTTTAACTTTCTTCAGCTGCTGAAGCAGCAGAAGCCACTAGATTAACAACTTAAAGCAGGGTTTCAGACCTAAGACTGCTTCACATAGCAAAAGACTTTTCTGCATTTGCAGGGAAATAATTTCTCAAAAGCTCAATATCCAAACATGGTAGTAAAAAATGTTATGTAAGGATATAAATAATGAGCAAGTTTGCCTTTTTTTTCCCTGGAATTCATACATAAAAAAAAATTTGAGAGTTTGAAATTGGGTATTTCTAGAACTTCAAAGAATAAACCAACCAGACATTTCACTAAACAAAGACAATAAGCAAATAAAGAAATAAATCTAATTCAAATGTACTTAAATACTTGTTTTGTTATGTCTCCCAACACATTTAAGGTAGTTCTACTACCTTATATCAATCAGGTAGGTCTAATACTAATTTTAAAAGTGCATACATATATACACACACACACACACAAGAATTTGCAACAATTATGTACAGATAGTCTGTATCACTGAAGTCTGCAAAAATAAAACACTGTATGTAGTCAAATGGCTACACAAAACTGTACATCCAAACCCTTCAACAGATGAAAAATCAACCATCCTTGGAAGACAAAAGAATAGCTACACTTAAGACGAAACAGTCTTAAAGAGGAGGTCATTAATTTAAAGAAATATACTTTGACTAGCAAAGATAATCACAATTCTGCTTCAGAAAGTTAGGTTCGCTGTTTGCATGCTGAATTACAAAGGAACAGAGTAATTTAAACTTGACTTTGAAAACCAACTTAAATAAAGGAACTGGGGAATCCAAATCAACCACTATTAACTAAGATCTCCGTAGCTGATAAAGATCTTCATCCCCCTTAATTGCTCCAGCCTGGAATAATATGTGCAACAGAAGATTCAGGCTTCCGTGCTGTAGATTTTCAAGCCAAGAGCCAGTTAAACATAAAGATGTTTGAAATAAAATGCTCTTTTTTGAAGTAACAGAAAAGTTTAGCAAGTAAAATGTCATTTTAAACTGTCATTCAAGAGCTCACGAAGGGCCACAGAATCCTGATAATCTCATCTTGATACAGTATGGGCTTTCAAAACAGTAGTCTCTTGAGGGTTAAAAGACAAAATGAAGACATGAAGAGCTCTGTAATGTATCTCAAAGACTACTCACCTGAAGCAAAGACTGTAATTGGTGGAAGTGCCATGGTATCAAGCTTAAGACCTTTCTTTTTTGATTTTGTTTTGTTAATTGAACCTTAAAAAAAAGAAATTGTCTCAATTTCATGGCTAGATCTGAGAATAATGGTTTAGAAAGGATTGTTTACTAAATGTAAAGTTCCTATTAAAATTAGAAAAATTTGGCTTACATTAACACAGTATTGCTGTTACCTAGGGCTTGAAGAGCTAACAACATTAACAGAGTTCTTGTCAAAATTTATGTGATGCTGAGCAAATCACTAGCCTATTACATTCACAGATGTACTACTTAACCCACTTTGTCCAGGATCTCGTGCTGAAACCCTGAGCCAGAGGTCTCCCCAACACAGTGAAAACCATGGTCATACAGATGTGACTACATAAAGCAATATATAACACCCAGCCCTTTCAATAATCAGAGTCAGGAATTTTAAATTTATTCCCAAAGGATATACATAATCAATTCATCTACATCTGTCTATTCAAATATATCTAAATACATATATATATATA